ACGGCTAGCGCAGATAGCCCTCACGTAGCTTTGCGCGAAATTTAAAAACAAACAAACAAACTATTCTGGATTCAACATTTTAATATGTACAACACACACACACACACACATAATTAATAGTCTCTTAGGTTTATTCATTTTTAATTTATAAACATAGAATAAGTAATGAACTTCAGAATTAGACTTAACAAAGTGGTACTTAGATTATTTCAGTAATAAAATTAAATTTTAGAGTTTGTTTCAATGTATAACACACTACTCAGTACGAAATAAAATTTGTATCAAGTAGTTGTGATTATATTTTAAAGAGGTTTTTTTCTTTTCAAAAACCAACAACAGAATTTCCCACCTGAAATGTCATCATGTGTGTTTGTGATCGAACAAGCCTTGTCAGTACGTGCTCTACAAGAAATGGTGACGGCATCATCTTCCGACCAGGTAATAAAACTGTTTATATCCTCTTATTGAGTGGAATATTTTTCAGTAGGTCCTACGATGCCAAATTTTTTATTACTATTTAGTGTTCTACGTATTAGAAGTTTGATTCAGTTTCATCACTCAGTCTCAAATTAGGAGTGACACAATAAAAGAAAATATTAGCCGTTTATATCATTAATTATGTTGGCAGGACTGAGTTCGTCTTTCAACAAAATGATTATTAATGTTAAAAATATTGATTAAATATAATCCTATAAGCAAATTGTATTAAATTATAACAAAAAAATTAAAGAGTCATAATCAGGTTTTCAAGACATTTCGATTTACTAAATTTACCGCTCAATTTTGTTATATCTTCGTATGTAATACGATATCGGTTAAAATTTATTTTGTATATCAAACAGTATCTTGCCGTGGTAAATAATATTGGTAAGGTGAATCAAAATAATAAGTGTGCTCTTATGCGGTTGAGATAATCATGCTATGTCATTAATTAAAGTTCATAATTATTCATGAAGCATTTTGTTAGCAACGGTACTGTGAATTAAAAAGGGGTTAGGCAGATTTGAATTATAAAAGTCAATAAACTGAAACGTTATTAAGCTAGAAACTTTCTTTGTGATATTTGCAATTTTCCCAAACTTAATCAACGTTTAAGTACATAGAGGTTTACTAATGATCAGTTTGTTCATTATAATACTTTACTTAATTCGCTAACTATTTAGGTGACTACATGTTTGAATGTATTTAATTTTTCTTCTTTTTTTTTGGAGGGCAAAGGAACTCAGTCGGGACACAGAACTTTGCTGTACGGACATGCTGTACTCTTAAAGCATAAAAATAGTAACATGGTGGGTGTTCAAATTATATTTTTTATTATATTTTTTTCTCATCTTGTTGTTTTGTTATTCTATATTTATAAACAAACTTTTGTTTGTTAAGCACAAAACTACACAATGGGCTATCTGTACTCTGCCCACCACGGGTATCGAAAACCGGTTTCTATTGAAATATTTCAACATCCATAGCAACATATTTAAAAATTCAAAGAGAAACAATCATTTAAAAATGGACTTGGGTCAAGAAAGAACAAAAGAAAGAGAAAGCTATTTAAAGCAACAAGTATGCCAAGCCTTCAAACGAAAATTGATTTTTTGTTTCGCATGAGTAATTACCATTTTATCTTTCATGCACTTTTAAAAATTATTTTAAGCTTGTCATTCCTTTTTTAAGGCTTTTTTGAGTTAATAATTGTTACCCACTCCAAGTTTTAGTCAAATTTTCTCCTTACATCGAACACTAAACTAAAACGAACAAAATATTTTAGATTAAAAAAAATTTCAAATACTCCAAGCCTATTAATGTTACTTAATGAGCTAGCCGATAATTTGAATTAATATTCTCTTACTTACATCGTCGGATTTCTCATACATCTCCCACTTATCTAAAAGTTACGAGACTTATCTATTTATTGTAGCTCTTCCTATTATTTTATCTATTTTGATTCAATAAAAGGTAAAAATTGCTTATTTGTGAATATAAATACTTAATTTAGAGCAGAATAAGTAATTTCAAGAGAATCGCATTAGTAAAAATTGATATTAATTTTGTTGTGTTACAGTATCTGGCTTGTTTATCTACAAGCTCCTCTAATGACAAACTAGCCTTTGATGTTGGTCTACAGGAACATTCTCAAGGTAACTGATATATTTTGTGATTTGTTTTGTTTGTTTGTCGTAAAGCACAAAGCTACACAATGGGCTATCTGTGCTCTGCCCACTGCGAATATTTAAACCCGATTTTTAGCTTTATATGCCCATTGATTAGTATAAATCTATTAAACTTTTGATTAATTAAGCATCATTTAACACATTTCATAATACGTTTTACAATTAACTTAGCATTGTTGTTGTAACATGACTGGTAGTTATTTTGAAAATTTAGATTCTAACGTGTTTGTCGCCGAGTATGTTTTAATGTATAAAACAGTACACCTATTTTTGACAATGGGTACTGATAAAGCTGGCCAAAGCTTCCAAAAACGTTTGATATATATTGCATTTAACCACCAGGCCATGCTTAACGTTGGGAAATAAATATGCAAGTTGTTATTGGCGCTAGCAGTATCGTCAGTTTCCGTATATTAGTGATCTTGGGAACTGAGGAAGCTTTTGCGTTAAAATAATAATAAAAAAGGACATTTATTTTTTAAAAGCGAAAATATAACGTATACATCTTTGTCGCTTTTTTTTTTTTCTAGCATGTAGCTAAATAATGCGAAAGTCTACTCTCACTTTTCTGGAAAGAAGAGAATCGGGGGATGTGAAGGTGGAGGAAGGGGGATTACATTCAAAATCAACAAAATAGAAAATATTGTACTTCGGGGGGGTTGCACAGGGGGAATTCCCCTTTGTACACCCCTGAATTTAACACTGAAGAGAATAGTAAATATCGATCCTGAGTGATTGCTTGAACTGTATAATTAAAATCGACACAGCTTTCGAAATACGGACATTAGCTTCCATACACATCTGATGGATTAATAACGTATCTTTAAAGAATGCAGACGAATCAGTACTAGCACTGGTATCAATTAACGCATTACGTAAGAGAACAAACTAACATAGCTTGTTCTATGGATTTACTCCGTCTTTATATCAGCATTACATGTTCATACCTGCTATGCAGTTACGCACCTTTGTTTTTATTGAGACTGACACTACTAACCAGAAAGAGCTCGTTGCTATGGTAACGATTAAGACTACGTATCAATCTAATTCTACCATGCGAAAGTATAATAAGTTTTCAGGACGTTTAAGATAAGCTATTGAAAACGTATACCGTGTAGGCCAAAGTACACATCTTTATATCTATATATATACAAAGAGTGAATTAGGGAGTTAGACAGTTCAAACCTCCTGAGACTAGTTAACCAAACATTATTTACAAAAGTAAGCTTTTGCAAGACTAGACGTGAAGAGATAATGCTGTTCATTATTTAGTGACAATTATGAGTGTCTGAGAATAACGGGCTTCTAGAATATTCAATAAAATTTTCAAGCAGCTTTGATAGCCAGAGTATCTAATACATTCTTATAGTTTTAGAAAAAAATATTGTTTACGGGTTCAAAATCACACTTGTTCACTAATAAGTTGAAATGCTAATCTAGTATTGCAAAATTTGAATCAATTTTAGTCTGAGAAAGTTTTTATTGTTATAGCTATAAATAGAAAACAACAAAATCGTTAAAATTGCTTCATAGACCGGACAAAAAATTGGTCAATATTCCAGCCATACGATCTTTATCGTCTCCCAGTAAAGACTGTAATAAGTTTAGTAGAAAGATATAATCAACACTTCAGCCATTTGATCTTTATTGTCTTCCAATAGAACAAACTATATTCTAATAATAAATAACACATATATATGCATGCGTATGTAAAATTATAGTATGGAACATAATAGCGTAAAAATACTATCCATATGTCTACCATTTAGCTCAGTGAGGGAAAAAGTAAAAGAGACACGAACTAAAGTCAATAATAATCAAGTATATATTACTGAACAAAGCTTGTACAATGAATATTTTTAAAAGATCATGAAACAATGCGCACATGTGCGTGCTTATAAGCATTGTATGAAAACACGTGTGTGTATGACAAATAATTTAACAATAGAATATTGTTACGACAGTGGAAGTCACGTGACGCTGGTAACACGTGATGAATTTCTAGAAGGATCTGGGAACATCGCGAATAATCCAGTATTTGCTAGGCGCCCTCTATTTTAGTATATAAGCCGGCAGATAAAGTGACGGCGATAATTATATAGCAGACAGAGAGATTGAAGATATAGACGGACAACTGAGTCAAGCGCGGTAGTAAGTAAAGTGCGTGAATCGTTCGTTGTTAATTATAGCGTATGTTTAAGTTAAACTGATTGTGGAAATTAAGTGTATTGCAAAGTTGTATTGAGAAAGAATAAACTAGTTTTATTTAAGAAAGGACTTGTATCGCTGAAGTTTTTCTGGGAAAGAATTTCTACGTAAAATTAACAAAACGAACAGAGACGTAACAATATGCGTATAAGATAAGTATGAGTCTCCAGAGTATATATTTCACGTTCTAGTCTAAATTGTGAATAGAGTATTGGATTAAATTGTTAAACCATTTTTACTGATTTCATAAATTTAAAATCTGCTGCGAAATATCTTTACCAAATAATCAATAAATTGGTCACCCTTCAGTATTTCTACGTACAATGAACAAATAAGATAACGGTATTGATAATTGAAAAAAAGGAGTTGCATTGAATTTGTAATTATTGGGCCATGGTAGTTATTGTCTTATTATAGCTTAATTCTAACTCCACGCTCATAAATATGACATAGAGAAAGTTCTAATTGTTCTGTTGCCCCCTCTCTCTTCCCAGTGTTAATGATCTTCTTACTTCATTGTCAATTAAATCAATTGTATATGAAATAAAAGATTTGAGAATAATTATTGCAGAATGACGTGATGGCTGCCTATTATATAGGTGAGAACAGTAAGACGCTTTGTGGTTTATGAGGTACTTCCTTTTCACCATGAACAATTCGTCGGGCACACTCACTGTGGCAGCAATGTGTATAGGGGGCTTAATTAGCCTTCCGGTATTTGTCGATTAACAAGATATTTCCACTCTGTGGATTTATTGATCGATGTTTGAAAATCCACTCATATCGTAACAACGTGGTCTTGTAAGCATGTAAATTGATTTCAAGAACCATCAACATACTTCAATAAAACTTAAGAACGTGCGCCTGAAGATACGAATATAATTTCAGTACCTTTAAGCATTTATGCTATCGTTTTATATGAAATGGTTAGTACATTGTTGGTCAAAATTAAAGCAGATTTATGCAAGTATCCTTTCTAACTTGAGATGCAATGATCTTTATAAAATTTGATATATCTGAGAGCAACTATCCCTTTCTTAGGTGAGGCATGTTGGTGGACAATCCATCCGGCTTCAAAACAGCGATCAGAAGGTGAAAAAGTAAGAGTGGGGGACGATCTGATATTGGTCAGTGTTGCTACTGAACGTTACCTGGTAAGTGCTGCGCGTGTTTAACTACAAACAATGTACATTATTTATACAGTTGCCGTAGCCACAATGGATGGGTGAAGTGTACAGAAACAAGTTTCTCGTAATTTTTAAACTATATTCTTAAGTTTTTCAAATAAATTTTGTCCTGGGTCGTTCTTTTTTTTTCTATAATGTGTTACAAAAACTTTTAATTTCTTTTCTGTCGTTCTAACATACGTATTATGTTTTAATACTATTGGTATATAGTGTTCACTCTTTAACTCAAGTTAACTCTGAACTGTCAAATGTCTAGAACACTTATTACTGAGATATGTTATCTTAGAATTTAAAGAAAGTTCAAGATGCAAGAAGACTGAAGCCTTCTCCAGACTGTTTGATCTTTAAACTTCACAAATGTTATTTGTGTGTTGTCGAACATACAGGTACTCAATGGGTTATCTGTGCTGTACCCACTGCTAACATCGAAGCCCGAATTTTACAGATATATAGCACTCAGACTTACTGCTGAGCCCCTGGGGGAGGCAAAACTTCACACGTATCTATGTGTTTATATAATTTATGTGCCAGTTAATTAAATTTCTTTCCGAACGGTATTATTTTGTTTGTTTGCTTATTTTTATGAAGCTTAAAGTGAAGGCACTGTTTATTACAACACATGATTACTATGTCACTTGATTTAAAAGCTACATTTACTGTACTTGTTTACAGAAGTTAGCCAAGCATATTATAGAGAGTAAAATTTGTTTAATTTAAAGGCTTTAAGAATTCTTGATGTAACATCTCAATATTGTGTGCAACATGGGACACTACATATTATTATCCTATATTAGAATATTCCAATATGTAAATCATTTAGCATTTATTAGTTTAATGAATTAACCCACGAAAGTGAAACTGAAACGTTTGTGAATAACTTTGTGCAGTATGTTTGTCGTTTTCTGAGTAAAGGAAAATAAAAATTAATGTATATTTGAATGTGTATTTGTGTTTATGTATATGTGTATGTACCCCGTATGTAACTTAAAAACGTAATGATAAACATGTATAATAGTATGCCTATTTTAAATATGCTTAAAGTATGCATCGAAAAGGTTTAGTGTTATCAAAAAAATATAAAAAATACATATCTTTAATTGTCCGTTTATAAACAATTGTGAAACATTGTTATTTACTCTGTAAGTAAATATTTATATAAACACTTTTTCTTTTTTACATTAAAATGTTTCTAAATATTTACAGCATACAACAAGGGAAGAAGAAAAAACCATAGTAAATGCAAGTTTTCACCTAACTCATTGGTCAGTAGCACCATTCGGGACTGGGGCAAGTAAGGCTAAAAACGTTGGTAAGTAGATCTCGTGACGCAAGGTTCAAGGAATGTTTAATAACTTTAATTTTAAATGTTTCATGGCTAAGCGTCATGTGATCAAAATTTACAGACAAGGTAAAGAAGCAGAAGAAATAAGTTATTTTGTAATTTATCCTTTCCCTCGAGTTTATGTGTAGGCCTATATTTTATATTTCGTTGGGGGCGTAATTTAAAACGTCTATTGTAATAAACAAAAATAAATTAAATTTATAAAGTTAGAATTAAGATACATATAAAAAATATCACGGTTAATAATTTGAGAGTTAAAAACGTGGTCAAATTGTGAATAAAAAAATGCCATCGGTATATCCAATTTTGAACATCGTCACTGGATTGTTCTGACTAAAAATAAATTCAACTTTCAAGTAGGAACTGAACAATATGGCTAACTAGGTCGGGCAAAATTTCGCAATGTTATGTGAACTGTAAAAGAAACCTAGGCCCTATTTGTTTGGTGTAGGCCTGTTTCCTAGGCTAATGGAGTGAATACTTTCTTGTAGGCCGGTATGTTAGACCTGTACTATTGTAGGGTAAACACATTTGTAATTCACTAATTGGTAATGATATAGCTCTGGTGTGTGAATATTACTATTAATAGTTTTTAATAAGTTAGACCTACTAGTACTAGTAGTGTTACTGCATGGCCGAGTAACGGATAATTTCTAATTAGCGTAACATTAGATTAATGTTAGCCTTGTTTTTTCTTTTAACCTGTACTGTAGGAGTCAGTAGATTTCTAATTGATTTTATATTTGGTGCCCTTCAAACGAGTGTTGTAAAACTAAAATAACTTTCTGCTTGTTGCAGCCGTGTTTGTTAATATTGAGGTATAGCCTATAGGGCTTAGGAATAAATTATTTTCTAAATGATGTAGCTTTCTGCTGTATTAAATAATTTTCTTGCAATATAACCCCGTTTTTTCGGCTGTGAAACTAAGCGATTTTCTAATTGGTGTAGTTTTATTTTGTGTTATAGAGGAATTATTGATTTGTGTAAGCAGTGTTTATATTATTTTAGAACTACCTTGTGTAAGGGTCTAACTAACTAATAAGTGAAATAAGCTTTGTGTAGAGGAAGAGCATATAATATAAATTATGAGGTCTGTAGAACTTGTAGAAGTATTCAGCTTTTATAACATCACCTTGTTTAATTATCAGAATTAATTAGTTTTCTGTCACAACTTTCCAGAGTATAAATTGTTGATTTTGAAAAATGTACTGTATTTTTATTTTTGCATCTGCATAAACATAAAATGAATATTTATTAAATACATATTGTATGAATTTGACAGGTTATGTGTTTGGAGGTGAAGTTCTCAGGTTTTTTCATGGAGGAGATGAATGCCTTACCATTCCTCCTACTTGGTCAGAAGTTCCAGGACAGAAGTAAGTTTGTAAAAAAATGAAAACAAAACGCTCCTTTACTGTAGCCATATTAATTTTTCATCAATAAATAATTAGAAATTATTAAGTTTTGTAATTCCAATAAAATTATACTTGTCTTTATCTTAACCCTACTACCAAGATGTTGCACATTAGAATCAGTGTATAAGAATGATTACTAAATTATTCTGGTAACAATTAATTTTCCTTGTACTTATATATAGTTTCTTAGTTCAGAGCAACGTTAACTCTTACTCCTCCATATCTTATCAATTGATATTTATTTTTACTATATTGGCTGGCATTTAAATAATTAGACTATAATCTTGAATCCTTTTTTCATGTATTAAACATAAATGGTGATTAATATATGTTTTTTGTGCTGAAAATATGCTGAAACAATGGTACGTACTGCATTCTATCTGAATGCTCACTGTAGAAACTTAACATGCCCAACATTTGTGAATCTTATTATTCTTAGAACTTGTTTGCTAGTACCTATTTTATAATCAAACAGTCTTCTTTTTAGTTCTGAGCATATGTCTCTGTATATATTTATTTTTATATAAACTGAATGTTTTTTCATTTTTTGGGTTAACTTGGTATACTGTGTTTACAGTATGGTTGTATATGAAGGAGGTGCAGTTCTTAGCCAGGCAAGGTCTTTGTGGAGGTTGGAATTGGTCCGAACAAAGTAGGCTTTAATTCCTTGTTTTAGTATAAATGAAATATACATAGGTAATGTTTAAAAGGCAATATTATGAAAATGCATAGAAAATAAAATAATAAAAAGTGAAGGTTTTTGAGAAAGCTATAAATATTAGAAAATAAAAGTATTATATTCTATAGATTATTTATTATGTTTTTGGTCCAAATTATTGGATTAAAAGATTAAACTTTTTGAGAGCAAATACTGTACCACAGTACATGGTATCTTCAAATAATTGTACACATGTTAAAATGTAGTATTTCTGATAAATAGATGGATAAAGACATGCTCTAGACCAAGAAGCTGTATTTATCTTGTCAACTGACAATACCAAATTGGTGATTATTCAGGAAAAACACAGACTGTTCTGTGGTGTGCAGATTTCTAGTTTGTTGTTCTCATGTTAACACCAATTTGAACAATTTCTATCAATACAAATGAGCAATGACATAAACAGTTCAAAGCCACACGATTTGTGCATCCTAAGAGAAGCACTGGATGATCCAGTGTAAGTGTAAATAATGTGATACAGTAACTAGGACCTTTCATTGTAGGCTAAGAAATTCAGTGAGGAGGGCTTCTGTTGCTTAAAATACCAGAGACTACTGTTTTTAAAATTTTAAAAACATTCCAGAACTTTCACTTACAAAGTTTATGTGGTAATGTAGCTGCTCAAAGAGAACTATGAGGTTACACTGACAATGAATATTTTGTTTCATGATTGGTCATACTGTCCTCAATTTTATTATGATGTCTATTGAAGCAAGATTCCATTCATGCAGAACAGTCAACAGATATAACTGTAAAATTTGAGGAGAGGAGAAACCACATTATACTTAGAAGTGTGGGAAAACAGATTTTTGGTAAGCTGTTTGGCAGCAAAAGATTTACTATCCTTTTTATAAGAGGAAACAATAATGAACTTGCACTTTAAATATGATGGAGAACTCTTTCTTCCTGTACTTGGATGTTGTTATTGGCATGTATTTCTTTTAGCAAGATGGGTCACAAGCTTGTTTTGTGTGTATTAGGTCCTTAACAATGTCCTATTGATTCACTATATGGACTGTATAGGACCATTTCTCTGGATGACATGATTACAGTGTACACTTAGTGCCACAGTACTAGTGGCTATGAGGATACATCAAGTCTGTGCTTAACACCCCATGTTCAGCTACACTTGCCAATATCCATGATTGTATCAGGGAAACAGTTGAAGTAATTCCAAGATATATGTAGCATACTGTGATCGCTGGAACTAATGTGTAAAACTAGAAGTTAAATAGACTAACACATACTTTACTGCTTCTTTTCAGCTTTCTTAATTTAAAGTTATTATGTTTTAACTATGTATTATTACTACTACTAAACTCTTTCAGTTTAATATCATAACTAGAGTTTTCCAGTTGATATTATAACCGTTTATAATTTATAACTTAATAAATGTTTCATTTAACAGTTTCAACACTGCTCTGTTTCTGGTTTACATTACACTAATTATTTTTGTTATGTAACTGCAGGTAAACATTATTTTAATTTATGACATAAATGTTTGGTTCATTCCAGATACATAGTTCAAACTAGTTTCTCAAGATCAATGCTTCCTTTACTAGGATAACCAAGCTGATAACTTTACACCTAGTTATATTACATTTGTGCTTTACTAATTACAAGTGGCATTTTCATTCTGAGTAACATGATAATGGACATAGCAGTACAGTTTCTTTATCTATATTATTTGTGTGGTTGTAAATTTGTAGCAACCTGAAATATATGAAAAGCAATTTTCTGTGACTGGCTCTTGCTAATATTTTAAGACCAATGTTGTATTTACTAGGTTGCTACAGCTTTAAGTAAACAGCTGTTCTCCAAGAACATTACAAAATGTAATAAATACATTTTGTATTTTATGTCCGTAATAAATAGTTTTTTGTTTTTTTAGACAGATTATTTTCAAATCAGGATAAACTTGAGTTTTTGTAAGATGATTGTACTGTCTTAGCTAGACTGAATTTAAAATTGTATGTTTAAAGTTTTTTTTAAAATCTATTCCTTCAATTAATAACTCTATCATGTTTAAAGGTATTATATTAAGGTTAAAAATTCTGTAAGGAGGAAATTTATTCATTACTCTCTAGATTTATGAATTCCAATGAAGACATAAGAATATGGCTCTTTTGACTTTAATTTTAGTGAAAGGGCAAGTACAACATACTGAAGAGGTTATAATATTTGAAACTTCATAATTACATTTATCTGTACAATGATATGTTAGTATATTCAATAAAAATAATGTATTTTATTACTGACATTATAATGTTGAAATTTTCAGTTCGTTAGAGTTACTATTTACATATTTAATTTTTTTAGGTGGTCTGGAGGGTTCATAAACTGGGGCTATGCTCTGAGGATTCATCATATCACTACAGGACGGTATTTAGCATTTAAAGAAAACCGAGAAGTGTGTCTGGTATCTTGGGAGGAAGCCTCTGTTGCAGCAACTGCTTTCTGCTTAAGGCAGACCAAAGTAAACTACAATCTGTAGAATATATAATAGGGCACATAGCCTAAAATCATGATTTTAGTGTAGAATTAATCAAGGTAAAACTTAAAATACAAACAAACAAGAAATGTTTGATATTAAGTATTGTATGCTGTAATTAAAAATAATTAGATGCAGGAAGAGATACTGTGGAAGGTAATGTGTTAGAAAAAGCATCTTAAAATTATTTTCATTCACTGATTTAAGTATTTGTTACAGATTCAATGTCATATTAAAAACTGTATTATTGTTATAGATTGAATGTCATAATAAGAACTGTAGTAATTGCAAAGAAATTTTCTTTTGTATGTTGTGTAGGATGATAAGAAGATCGTTATTGATGAGAAAGAAGAGGAATGTATAGGGTCACCACTGATAAAATATGGTGATACAACAGTCTTCATACAGCATTTAGATACAGGCCTCTGGCTCTCGTACAAGGTTAGCTTCCAAAACGTGTCTCAAGTCAGAAGTGTGATGTCAAAGACATAAATAATATCACTGATTTCTGCAGTTTTTGTATAATTTTTAATACAAGCTATTGGCTATTATGAGATTCATCTTTTAATAATTTTTGCCTTTGAAACATATTATAGTTTCAGGTTATTCAAAAGTTGTTACAACATCAGAATTATAAATAGTCACATGTAGTATGGTGAGACATATTTTTTAACATTATACTTTTTTGTAAGTCTGTTTCCAAGATTTATGTTTCTTCATCTATAAATAACTATTTACTGTTTATTTATGCAGTTAAATGTATTTATATATAAATTAAGGCGTATTACTTTTTGTTCTTGAATTATAGTTTATTTCTGTAACATGATTAAAGTTGTATTGTGATGTAATACAGTAACTTAATATATTCTATTCTATTTGTCTTTAATGTTTTGTCTACAAATAGATATAAAAAATTTAATGATGCCTGCGATGTTTGGTTGTGTGTATTTAAGTTTAAAATAGATAGTACATAAAATTGGTTTGGTTCAGCCTAATTGAGAGTTATAGATGAGTTATGATATTCCAAGAAATTAATCTAACATAGACTGTATGACTAAAATATATTAAAAAGTATGTTTTCTGAGATCTATTGTCGCTCCATAAATTATGCAAAGAAAACATCAGTAAATATTCACATAAGTGTTTCTTGTAATATAACTTTTTTAAAATATGTCTTCTCAAATAAAATATTGACATTATATAAGTTTATGTAAGTTTTTACAGTATAGTTTTTATGTATGTATGTGTGTGTGTATTTATTTTATGAAAGTTTCATAACACTAGTAGTGAAAATAAGATAAATCCTTTGTATCTACTTACAGACTTATGAAACAAAGAAAAGAGGAGTTGGTAAAGTTGAAGAAAAACAGGTTTGTATATTGTACATTACATAATACTACTTTATGAATGTTCTGTAACAACTCTCCATTCATCAAATATAATTTGTAAATACTCTTTAACTCTGTCAGTTTATCCAGTAGCTGTGTATCTTATTCTTCCATTAATGTTTAAGAAAATGAAATTCATTCATAGGTTAACTTTAAATATTAACCTAATGTTGTATCTTGAAAGGCTTTTGAGCATGTAAAAAGTGTGTGTGATATAAAAAGTGACTACATTTTATTCTATTTTTATTAGTATCATTTAATTTGAGAATATATATTTATATTAAGTCCTCAAGCAATTAATGTCGCATTTTGGAACACTTTCATTAACCACCCCCCAAAAACGTACGTCACGTATAATAGTTAAATGAACTGCCTAAACATCACGTTAGTGTAGCCTATATAATATGTAAAGTTTAGTATACTCTAACCCCTTATAGTGACGGCACATGACGAGACACACATTTGGCATGTAATGCTGTTTGAATACAAGAAGGAAAACAATGTGTCTGTAGCCACAAAGAATATCAAAGAAGTTTATGGAAATGTTTTGAACGTCGTAAGTGTCAACGATGGTTCAGCAAATTTCGTTCAGATGACTTTAGCCTTAAAAACTGTGGTGACAGGGGCCGACATGTTAGAATTGATAGTGATGCTCTTAGACGCTGGACGCTGGTTGAGGCAACAAACTCGTGAAATGGTCCTGAACGTTGCTTCGTCTCTTCTGGCGCGTAATGCGCATGAACCATTTTTGGACAGATTGTCACCGGTGATGAAAAATGGATTCTTTATGCGAATATTAAACGCCAAAACAATGGCTCAGTCCTAGACAAAAACCACTTCTGACCCAAAAACTTGTAGAAATCTGCAGAAAGTGATGCTGCGCATTTGGTGGGACATCAAAGGAGTAATTCATTTTGAACTCTTCAATCCACAGCGAACTATCAATGCAAAGATCTATAGTCACAACTGAAACGTTTAAATCAACCCCTTCATAAGAAACGCCCTTCACTCCTCAATCGGAAAAACGTTCTTCTTCTTCACGACAATGCACGTTCATGTGTGGCACGTTTGACGCAACACAAGATCATGGAGCTGGTTTGGGAAGTTCCCCCCCCCCACCCACCATATTTTCCAGATATGGCATCATCAGATTACCATCTTTTTCGTTCGTTGCAACACCATTTTAATGGGGAAACGTATGCAAATGTGGAAGGTGTTAAAGAGAACATCGACATGTTTTTTGCTTCAAAGCCAGTGACCTTCTTTAATCAGGGTATTAACAACCTGATTGTAAAATGGAAAAGCATCATCGATAAGATTGGAGACTATTTCGTTTAATAAATGTTTTGTTTTAAAATATAAGTAGTTGTTTCATCTAAAAAAAAGCAAAATTAATTTCTTGACGACCTAATATATAAGTAATTCTAATGGCAGCTGATACAAATTAAAACTAATAGAATGAAGAAAGGGATAAATTAGCATTACTAGCATTTAATAAAATGTGACTAAGATGGATTAAGGTATTGTTTCATAAATTAAATAATGACTTATTAAACTAGCAAATGTAGTGTATTTGTAAAATGGAAGCATTGATCTGTTTATTTCATATATTAAAATTACATTTCAGTCGTGGGATTGTGTTCACTAAGTAAACTCTGCATAAACTGAAAAAAAATATAGAATTGATTAATACGTTTTTTTCAATAACATGCTATTTTATACTGAACTGAAATTATTACTTTATCTTTGAAATAATGTCTGTTTTGAGTATTTGGTCCCAGGAATCTGATTTTTAGATCATAGAATAAAATATTCCAAGTAGATTCTTTTTTGTTCTGGCATTATGAACAGTTTTCTAGGACAAAAAACAGTTTACAAACTTAATGATTTACAGATAGAAGTTTTTATGAAAAGTCAATAACTTTTTGATATTTTATAGGCCATAATGTCCGAGGAAGGCAAAATGGATGATGGTCTGGAATTTAGTCGGTCACAAGAAGAAGAATCTCGAACTGCTCGAGTCATTCGAAAATGTGGAGCTTTGTTTAATAAGTTTATCATGTAAAAATACGTTTTTGTTTCTTTTTTTTGTGTGTTCATAGAATTAGAAAAAAAAGAGGCATTTCTTGCAATAAGCAGTTCAGTGAACTCTGTGATCAAGCTTTTTGTGTAATAAGTTATCTGAGTACATCTAGAATTTGGTTTTATATTAGAGTTTGTTTCTGTAGGGTTTTTTTTATTTTGTTTAAAATATAACAAAAAAAACAATATTTTTCTTTACCTACTAATAGTATAAACATTTAAAAAACATTTGCTTGAAATAATTTTTTGATATTTGGTTTCTTTATCTGTTTGATTTAGCAGCTTTTTAAGATTAATTGCAGGGTGTAAGTCACGTCAGTAAGAATTCTGTGAGTTTTACCCATTTATAATATATTTTTGTTGGATGTGTTCATTACAGGGTCATAGTAAATGTACATATGGTGGTAGGTTTGTTTGGTGAAAACTTACCAATTATTGTAAACAATATAAAAAATATTTGTAATTTTTAATGTTTTATTCAATTTATAAAATTACTGTATTTTGTGGTTTGATCAATTTGTGATTAAGTCATGAGACTTTATGCAAAGTCACATGCTACTAAAGACAATATGTAAAGAAAGTGGTACATGCTTTTTGATCTCTCCAAAAATATCAAAAGACTTACTCGAAGAATTCATTATTAAGAATATATTTATATATGTTAAAAACTAGTTCATGCATTTAGAATAAATAATAGAAAGTTCCTAATGCTGAAGTATATTATCTATATAACCATGTGTAATTTTTTTTTTCAGGGGTTTGGATTCTTTAAAGGCAAAACACCACTGCTCTGTGTTCACTGAAGCCAGTCAAAACAAAATGATAATGTGCTTAGAAGATTTAATAAACTATTTTGCTCAACCTGAAGAAGATATTGGTTAGTTTTATTAATTTCAAAGCTAATTTCCATTTATTTTACTTGCATTATTTATATATTTTTTAGTTTTAGGTTATTACAAAATCAAATGTAATCTGCATGTTAAAATAGTAATAAAGTTGAATTAGAAACTGTTCCTAGTAAAATATATAAATGTGTATATAATTACATATATATAGATAATGGGCAGACCAGGTGTCACCTCAAAAGAATGACAAAGAACAAAAACAGCTAGGACAAAAACAACTTGACTTTCTCAACTATGTGATATGTGAAAACTATACATATCAGATTAACTGGCAAATTCTGAAAAACTATTAATGTAAGAGAGTAGAAAATGCATGACATGCTTACACACCAATATACAAAAAGGTTATAAAATATTTTCAAACTTTATTAAATTACAAAACTTGGAAGGTGTTTTAACAGTACTTTTGGAATATCAACAAATACTGCTTATATTACCAGTGTAATAAGTAATAGGTGAAAAGAACAGTGCAAGGAAATGAAAAAGTTTATATTGATAAAAATAAATGCTCAATTCCTGTGACTCAGAAATAAAAAAGACAAACTTGGTTTAAAGGTTTAATGTCAAATTATGAGTGCTTTTAATTGATCATAATTGTTTCTTAACTGGCGTTGTTATTAGGTGTCTTAGTATGTTTTTCTCACTTTTTTGTTAAAAACCTATGTTTTTCACCAAATATGTTCTTGTGTGCTTTTAGTTTTATATCTAATAAATTCTTTAAATAGTGTTTTAAATTATGCATTCAACATTGTTACCCATCTGTCTCTGATAAGCTGTGGTATTGAGCAGAAAGCCACATCAATACTTTTTTTTAAGTTTCTAGAAACATTGAGTTACTCACTGAGTTCTTAAGTGCATGATACATGTAAGAAAAGAGATTCACAGTAAAAATGAAACAAGTTTATGTGTAATCTTATTCTTGCTTCACTTTGTAGAACATGAAGAAAAGCAAACTAAACTCAAAGCCCTAAGAAATAGGCAGGACCTGTTTCAGGAAGAGGTAACTATTGATGTCACATGAAAGTTTCCAAGAATCTTGAGGAACAGCTTGTAGGCAATATTCCCCCTACTTTTTTTCAATCAGTGTGCGAAATAAATTTTTTCACATGCACCAGTATGAAGGCAATGTGCAGATATGTGTTACCAGTATTTTTATTTTTTATTGGGGGGGGGGTAGTTTTTAGACCATCAACCCTATTGAATCATTAGGCCACTTTGCAATGCTACCATATGGTTATTTGGGCTTTAGGCCTATCGACTGACAGGGTCATTAAGGTCATCAACATGCTGAGACTCTTCACCATTACTGAGGAGGTGCGTGGTTGGAATAATTAAGTGTGCAGCATTTGATTGGTTGTTGTGCAGTGATGCAGCTTATAGGGAACACTGCTTGTAAGTGAAGATTCCACAAGTTATTTAGGAATAATGACTGATTAGAAATCAATACTAATTTAATATTACTAATTCCAATTTTAGAGAGAAGAAAGTACAGATTAGTAAGTTTTTCCCACTAGATGAATTCCTAGAATACTTTATTTTGCATTTTTCTGAGAATTTTACTGCTTGAAGCTTTGTACTATTAGTTACAGTTTGTGTTTTAGTGGAATGCTCCTGAAAGCTGTAAAGTGAAATGTTGAGTATCAAGTTAAAAAAACTAACAAACTTGGTGTTATAAGGTCATTTATTTCTAGTATTAAAATGTATTTTATACACCAATATGCACTACAGAAGTTGAATAAATTACATAATTGATGATGATGGTTTGTTTGCATATCTATATATATATATATTAGGTTGTCAAGAAATTAATATCTCATTTTGAAACACTTTCACTACCCCCCACTATAATAGTTAAACGAATGGTCTAAATGTCATGTTAGTGTATCTTATATAATGTGTAAAGTTTAGTATATTCTAATCCCTTATAGTGATGGCACACAGTGAGATACACATTCAGCATGTAATACTGTTTGAATACAAGAAGGGAAACAATGCCTCTGTAGCCACAAATAATATCAGAGTTTATAGAAATGTTTTGAACGTTTGTATATCTCAGCGATGGTTCAGCAAATTTAATTCAGGTGACTTTAGTTTTAAAAACTGTGATGGGAGGGGCTGACATGTTGGAATTGATATTGATGCTCTGAAGATGCTTTTTGAGTCTAACCCAAAACAACACACTCTTGAAATGCCCTGAAATTGCATGTCTGTCATGAAACAATACGTAAACATCTAAGGAATATGAGAAACTCCATAAAGAAGGTGTTTGGGTGCCTCATGAACTCTCTGATGATCATCGCTTCCAACGTGTGAAT